AAAAAAAAAAAAAAGATTTGGCCACTTTTCCAAGCCTCTAATTAGACTGCTATTGTTGAGGAGGGCAGGTAGCAACCAAGAATTTCCACTGCCATAACTCACTGGGGATGCAGCGGCAATACTATAGGGCGAGCCTGGGGAACTGAAAGACAAAGGCCTTCATAGCAGAGCCCCGAATGTTGCTTACAATTTTAAATCTCATTGCTGACCTGTGTGAACAATAAGACATCCAGGTGATATGGGTAGTGGAGAGCTAGGAGCTTGCCCCTGCCTTCCCCCTTGTCTTGTTTTCATTTTGTGACAGGGACTCACTGTGCATGTAGCTAAGGGTTGGACTCAAACTTGAGATCTTCAGACTCTGTCCTCCCAAATGGGGGATTATAGGAGTACATCTCAGTGTCTGAATTTTGGTACCTGCTTTTCCGATCTTACAATCAAGTTGATACAGTACATAGCTGAGAGATATAAGCATATATATATATATATATATATATATATATATATATATATATATATGTAATAGTTCACATGCAATAATAATGACCATCATTTATGTGTCATTTCATGTGCTAATCACTGAAAGGGTCATATTGATACATTCTGATACAAGCTCTCTACCAGAGGCATTTATTATTACTCCGTCCATTCTACATTAGTCAGTTTCAGGGAAGTTTAAAACAAAACAAACAAAAAAACTGCTCTAGAGATGCAGTTAAGACCCTGGCTCTTGCCAGAGGCAGAGGCAGAAGAATCTCTGAGTTCGAGGCCAGCCCGGTCTACAAAGTGAGTTCCAGGGTGGCCAGGGCTACACAGAGAAACTCTGTCTTGAAAAACAAACAAACAAACAAACAAACAAACAAACAAACAAACCTGACTCACTCTCTCTAGGTCTAGAACCCAACCCTGATACCAGAGCCAGGGTTATTTATGAATAAAAATGATTTCATGACTGTGTTTGCTACTACAATGGACGTGTAGATCTAGTTTATAGTCACTTATCATGATAGTAATTCATTCTCTAATTTCTACCAACCCAGTAATTCTGGGAAGTGGTGAGTACATTATAGATTTACCACTTTAATTTGTATAAGGAAATTTAATTCACCTCCACAGTAAAATGCAATCAGAATACCCTAGTTTAGTATAGCTTTTTTTTTTTTTTCTTTCTTTTTTGTTTTTTGAGACAGGGTTTCTCTGTGTAGTTTTGGTGCCTGTCCTGTAGACCAGGCTGGCCTCAAACTCACAGAGACCGCCGCCACCGCCGCCACCACCACTACCTGGCCTAGTATAACTTTTATAGGTAACTTGTATTTAGTGTGAGAACTGCATTTTAATTCGGTCTATAATCCATAGTTTGAAATTTTGGGCTTTGAAATTTGAAAATGTTTTAATAAGTATTTGGGTAGTTTGTAGAAGTTCCAATAAGCCTATAGTTGGACATGAATATAATTTTTAAAATTCACTTTTTATGTGAAAATATAGATACAACAGCCAGGCATTATAGTACAGGCAAAATAAGGAAAAATAAGAGTCTGAGGTCAGCATGGTGTATTTAAGGAGCCAGGCTCTCTCTGGAACAAACGAAATACTATCTTGTTTTATTTGTTCCTTTATCTGAGACAGAGTCTCTCTGTGTAGCTCTGGCTGTCCTGGTTTTATGTAGACCATCTTTAATTCAAATAAAAAAATATTTTGGCGCTGGGCATTCAACCCAAGGAGTCGGCACACTTGCAATGAGCTATAGTTCCTGTTCTCTGTTGTTTGGAGGAAAATAAAAATATGTTGGGAACTGTCATTTCACTGAAGAAATTTTCTCTGCCAAGCAAGCTACAATTAATTCATCCTTCTTTCTCAGTCTTTGATGCTAAAACTACTATAAAAAAGAACAAATAGCCAGGAGTAGTGGAGATTGCTTTTAACCCCATGATTAGGGAGGCAGGTAACGTCAGAGCTCTGTGAGTTTGAGGCTGGCCTACATAGAAAGTTCCAGGCCACCTAGGGCTCCATAGTGAGACCTGGTGTCTTCCTCAGTGTTCTACTGCTGTGAAGAAACACCATGACCATGGCAACTCTTATAAAGGAAACCATTTAATTGGGCTTGGCTTACAGGTGTTCAGAGGTTTAGTCCATTGTCATCATGGCAGGAAGCATGGCGGCATGCAGGCAGACATGGTGCTGGAGAAGGAGCTTCCAGTCTCACATCTGGATCTGCAGGCAGCAGGAAGAGAGAGTGAGCCACTGGGCCTGGCTTGAGCTCCTGAAACTTCAAAGCCTTCCCCCTCCCACTTCTTCCAATAGGGCCACATGTCCTAATCCTTCAAAGAATACCACACCCTCTAAGCCTATGGGGGCCATTTTCATTCACACCATCACATCCATTCTCCAAAATAAATTACTAAATATTTTCATATTTATATATGCATACTTAAATAGGGAGAGAGAATGCTAAAAATAACCCAGGCTTTTTAAACTTACATATATTTTAGATTTAGTCATTTTACTTTATGTGTGTTTTGCCTGAATGTATGTTTGTGTACCACGTGGGTGTGTGTTGCCTACAGAGATGCCAGAATGGAGCATCAGATCCCCTGGTACTGGAGTAAAGAATGGTGGTGAACCACCCCATGGGTGCTGGGAATCCAACCTGGATCCTCTGTACGAGCAGCCAGTGCTCTTAACTGCTGAGCCATCTCTCCAGCCCCAAATCTAGGCTTTTTAGACTTTAGGTTTTTAAACCCTGTACCTGAACTTTCCAACAGGACAACTTTTTGCATCTTTAATTTTGGGGGTCGGGGTATCTGAATCAAACGTAAAAGGTTTTAAACAGAACAGGGGGACAGTTTCTCTTACTGCTATTTATTTTCTCAATGCACTACTTTTCACCTGTGACATTTCCTTTTCTGTCCCCCGGCTCCGCAACTCCTTCGACACATCTTAAATTTAAAAACCGATTTCTGCCGGTGTCAGGGGCGCATGCTTTTAATCCTAGCACTTGGGAGGCAGAGAGACAGGCAGATCTCTGTGAGTTCGAGGCCAGCCTGGTCTACAGAGCAAGATCCAGGCCAGGCACCAAAACTACACAGAGAAACCCTGTCTCGAAAAACAAACAAATTTAAAAACACATCTCTAACTTTCACTTTTGTATGCCGGTGGCCTCACACACGGCTGGCTGTATGGTGTGCAGAAACACTTGGAATTGGGATTCTAAAATGCTAAGCGATGCAAAGTAAAAAGGAGAAAATAGCATATGTTAAAAGCACGATATGTGGAAAATACACGTATCTTTCTTGGGGAAGAAATGACTGGGGGAAAAACCAGACTAGAGCAGGGAACAACCCACAGCTGGAAAATGAAGAGGCAGGCGCATTTAGGACTGCAGGGCACAGACAACTGATCTGAGGCAACTCCCCACGGTTTAAAGTAATGGGACACTTAGGGAATGATAGGCATCTCTCAGGAAAGAAATGCCGTCCCTTTATTTACCAAGGGCCAGTCATTCAATTAGTCATTGAAATGGTCCGGGGTGAGGTGGGGTGTACTGTAGTGGAACTAGATTACCAAGATAAAAGGAACACAAGCACACCTCGTTTCTAAAGACACCCTGAGATAGGTGTTAAATAGAACTTGTGCAGAAAGAAGCAACTGAGCCCTTAACAGCAGTCCTTAGGTTTCACAGAGGAAGTTGAGTTGTGGGTTGGGAACCAACAGGGCTGCGCTACCGTTTCCTATTTTGGAAAATGACTGATAGTGAAATGGATCATCCAGAAGAGGAAGAAAAAGGCTAAGGAAGGGGGTTTTGATGGAGGCTGAGAAGAGCATGTTAACTGTGGCCGTGTCTGCCCGCAGAGGGTCGGGTTTGCAAAGAACCCACGCAGCCCACGCGGGGCCCGTGGGGATCGTTCCCGTGGACTCGCCGCATTCCCTAACATTGCCAACAGCTGCCCTCGAACATGTCAACTACTGGATGACATTTTTGCACACGCACTTTTGGGGGCCGGATAGGGGTAGGTGTGCACGCTCGGGGTGGGGGGGGGGAGAGCCTCGAGGGTTTCCCCTCCTCTTTTTTAAAAAGGAGAAGAAAAGCATTCAAATGAGCGGGAAGGCGGTTAACACCCGCAGCGCCGGCGCTACCGAACGTCGTCGCGCCGCGGGCCCAGATTCCCCGGGGGGCACGGGCACGTCGCCTGGGGCTCGGGCCTCTAACAGCGCCAACCGCCGCGGCGGCGGGGGCGGCGGCGAGCTGGGGAGGGAGGGGAGCGGGAGCCGCAACCGCTGCAGAGCCGCGCGCAGCGGGCGTTGCGCGGTCGGGACTCGAAGCCCGGGCGAAGGAGGGGGGGGGGAAATCCAGGCGGGGATGTTGACGGACAGCCCCTCCAGCCAATGGGAAGCCAGATCGCCTTTGCCCTGGCCAGTGGGAAGCGGCGAGGGGCGGGGCGAGGGGGGGCGGGAGCTCTGGGCTGAGGGATCCGATCCCGCCCGGCGGCAGTCAAGGCGGGGAAGCGGATTAGGGAGGAGGGAAGACCGGAAGCCACGGCCCGGGCTCCCCCATCCTTACTTTCGCGTCGTTTCCCTCCTCCTCCTCCTCCTCCTCCCTCCTCGCCCCGGGGCTGGGAGAGCTTGCGAAGCTGGCGGAGGGAGAAGAAGCTGGAGGCCGGCTGGGAGATAAAGGGAAGCGTCCGCTCAGCCCGCGCTCCCTCCTCAGCCACGGGCTCCTGGAGCGCGCGGCTGCGGCGGCGGCAGCGGAGGCGGCGGCGGCGGCGGGGGACGACGACGACGCCGGGGCCGCTCCGAGGCGCGCTGAGGCGGCGGGGACGGATCGGCGACATCTGAGGCCCGGCTCCCACGCCGCCGCCGCCATGTCCTCCTCCACCTCCTCGTCCTCCCCGAAGGAGGAGACGTACGAGGAGGAGGACCGGGAGTTCGAGAGCCAGGCCAAGCGCCTCAAGACCGAGGAAGGAGAGATCGGCTACTCGGCGGAGGAGAGCGAGACGACTCGCCAGGAAGCGACGCCTCAGGCCGGGAGCGACAGCGACGGCGGCGGCGGCGGCGGTGGAGGCGGCGACGGCGGCGAAGG